CTGCTCTAACCAACACTTGCCTGATTTGGCAGCGACGGTGCTGCTCTTACTCTAGGTTGCTACCACCTGCCGCGTGTCTTGCCGCCTTACCTGGCAGCTTGGCTGGACAATGCAGCTGGGCATATAGGCTGAGAGTAAAGCGTAGGCTTTTGCATTGGCCTTTCGGATAGCCTGGCTTTGGGGTCGATTTAGTTAAAATGATGCCCTGGTGCATTCCCTGGCAACACTGAAGGGGTAGATATTCAGGGAGGGTTCAGAGGGGGCCTAAGTGCCCCTTTTCTGTGTCCTGCATGCTCTAGCAGGCTCTTCGGGAACGTTTGGAGAAGTGTCTTTTTGAAGGTGCACAAGGGAATTTTCTGATGCCCGCTCATCTTCCTGCTGCGAGGGGCCAGCTACACTCTGATCTCACTTGAAGGGGACAGTTGTACCCTCTAGTTGGCTACATGCCTCTCTATTAAATCCAGGGCCTTAACCAGAAGAGTGAGTGTGTATATGCAGGAGTTGGGGCCTCATAGGCTCACTACCCTTCAACGCCACCTCAGAAAGGGCTCTCTGCTATGAATCAAGGTTAGAATATGGGGAATGAAAGAACTCCAGTGAAGTGGGGCGGTGGGAGAACAGGAACAAAGGAATGAATCCCTGATTTCTTTTTTCCAGGTGAGTCCTCTCCTCTATTTCTCCCACATTAGTTGGAAATTTGGGGCAGGAGAGCTACACAGGGCAAGGGGATGAGCAGGGGAAAGAGAATAAGGAGAAGCTGGTTGCCCAGTTCTTGGGTTGGTCCAAGTTTAAAGCCGAAAGAGAGGGTCAGGGGGGTCTGAGTTCCCTTCATTGTCCAGCTCAGCTCACTAGGGTAAGAGTCGAAATGTATTTGAGGCAGAAGGGCCTATAACTGTAAATAAAGACTGCATTTGCCTGACTTATTTTCTGTGTCACATTAATTTTGGGGATACTTCAAGCGCAACAGCGGGCAACCGACAAGAGTCTTGCTCTTGTGTTGGGGAGGAAAGCCCAGCATCTAAGAAACACAACTGGTCTTATGGCTATCCTTTATCACACCACTACTATGGCAGCCAGGAGGAACAAGGGTGGCCTGAGCAGTCCCCAGGGAACGGGTCTCCCCTTACAAAGGCAATATGATGGCATCGCTCACCACAGGATAAGCCGTTTAAGCTGAGCTCTCCGGGCACAACACCTTATTTCTGTCTGTTTCAAAATAAAATCCTTCTCCCTGCCTTCCTTTCCTAAGAAGGCTTCACATTTCCAGCCCTGTCTCCCACGTGCCCCAATAGGAACCATCCACTGTGCGCAAAGCCCCTCCAGGCCTTCTCCCTGCCCCGTGATGCATTTTAGTTGGTGCATCCGGGGCTTTCTTTTGCACCTGAACCAAAGCTGCAAACTCTATTGCTTCAGGGACTCAGTGAAGTTTTGTGGTAGGAAGTATTCCTGTGGGATATAGATTGTTCTAAAACTCAGGCAGCCACTTGGGGGTCACTTCCTGTATATGTGAAGTGGGCTGGGTGCTCAAGGGACTACCCTTTCATCTCACAGCTAGGTAAAGAAATTGCTGGACATCATTCATTTCCCATAAAATAAATGGGTTCCCTGGGGTGGAGGTGGGGGAGCCCTGTGAAACACAAGGGCTCTTTCATGGCTTTTGCCTTAACTGACAATCCTGAAGTACCCAGAGTTTATATAGTGCTTAGCTCCCAAGAAGTTCACAGTGCTCCTTGATATCAAAACTGCCCTGGGTTGGCTCAGTGGGTAGAGCCTGAGACTCTTGATCTCGGGGTCATGAGTTCGAGTCTCATGTTGGGTGTAGAAATTATTAAATAAAACAAAATAAAGGGGCACCTCGGTGGCTCAGTCAGTTATGCGTCTGCCTTCGGCTCAGGTCATGATCCCAGAGTCCTGGGATCGAGCCCCACATCGGGCTCCCTGCTGGGTGGGGAGTCTGCTTCTCCCTCTGCCTCTTCCCCCTCCACCGGCTTGTGCTCTCTCTCTCTCTCTCAAATAAATAAATAAAATCTTTTAAAAAATAAAATAAAATAAGATCTTTAAAAAAAAACAAAACAAAACATGCTGTCCTTAGTATATGAATGTGACATCAGTGACCCATTAGCAGTAGGATGGCCTTTGGAGTGGTTTTGCCACTAGGGATGAGGCTACACCCAGTCTTTAAGTCTCATTCCTTGTGACTGTGGGCAGCCATTTTCCAGCCAGGATTGGACCTCGGAAGGGAGCAAAGCTAATTGAGCCACAAAGTCCCCTCCCTTGTCCCCAAGCTCTAACCACCGCAGCTCACCAGCCAGAAGTGCTTCCGGCTCCAGGAACATGGGCTCTGGAGTCTATCTGAATTCAAATCCTGACTCTTCTTACTAACTTGCGTAAATGACTTAACCCTTCCATGCCTCGATTTCTTCATCTGTAAAAAGAAACCAACAATAGTTGGTTTGGTCTCTTAAGATTGATGTGAGGATTTTTTAAAGATTTCATTTATTTGAGAGAGAGCGAAAGCGAGAGAGCAGGCACGATTGAGGGGAGGGGCAGAGGGAGAAGAAGACTCCCCGATGACCAGGGAGCCCGATGTGGGGCTTGATCCCAGGACCCTGAGATCATGACCTGAGCCAAAGGCAGATGCTTAACTGACTGAGCCACCCAGGCGCCCCAAGCCTGTTCTAAGGATTAAAAGAGAAAATATGTGTCAAGTGTCTGGAGTGATGCCGGGCATGTATTTAAGTATTCATGTTTGCTGCTACTATTATTCATTCTTCTCCAATGACAAAAACAAGAGGGTATGTATTTTGCCCTGTGGGATTTGGTTTGCCCTATACCCCAGTGCCAATCTCTTCTCCATCTTCATTTGGTTGTTAAACTAGATTCCTTGATAGTCATATAATGCCCAGCCCCAGCCCTCACCCCCTGCCCATCCTGCCAATATTACTCAAGTGCTTTTGGGTGGGGATCAGACACTGCCATGGGTGCTGCAAAGAAACATCAAAGAAATACTATCTCTTCCTTCAATGAGCTCAACATTTACCTTGGGAAATGGGCCAAAAAGAAGGTAATTTTGGCACCATACATGCTCTATCACAGTGAGCACAGCCAAAACCCACTGGGCCTAGGCAGAGGCAAACCCAGCCTCAGAGCATGTTTTTAACCTAAGGATAAGAAAGCCACAGTAAAAGGTCTGGGAGATATCTTAGAAGACATTCCTGGTTTAAACAAAAAATGAGGGGTCTGGTTTCTTAACGAGGTGAGAAAAATCCACATCTATCAATTACCCCAAACTATGCTGGATACTGTGAGACTATCTCTGCGTTTATTTATCTACCTACTTATGTATTCCTCATTTCAGCAGGGTGCTGGGCCCTTGAAGAGTTTCCAATCTAGCAAAAGTCTTCAAACAACTTTTAAAAATGCAACCACAGGACAAAATATTGTATGACCCCACGCATATGAGGCACCCAGAGTAGTCAAATGTATAGAGACAGAAAGTAAAATACTGGCGGCCAGGTGTGGGGAAAAGGGGTATGGAGATTTCAAGTTTAATGGATACAGAATTTCCATTGGCAATAATATAAAAGTTCTGGAACTACACGGTGGCGATGGTTGCACAACATGACTGTACTTAACGCTACAGAATTCTCCACCTAATAATGATTCATATGGTAAAGTGTATGGTATGTGTCTTTTACCACAAATTAAAAAACAAGGCAAGATGGTATAAAAAAAAAAAAAACACCTCACCGGCTAATTATACAACTTTGCTGAAAGTCATTTCTGGCCATATTCAGAAGAAGGAATTCAGAAGAAGGAAAGCTCAAGGAAGGGTAGAGCAGCTCAGGAACGTGTTACCAAAGAGTCAAGATAAGAGCCGGGCTTATGAGTGGGAACAGTGTGTAGAGGAGCCCCACAGAAAGAGGCGTGTGTGTTTAGGAGAACAGTGGGAACCAAGGCCATTTGCATGGAGTGGGGCCTGGCCCAGGAGGGGCAGCAGGCAGACATTTAAACTCCGTGTGTGTGTGTGTGTGTGTGTGTGTGTGTGTGTGTGTGTGTGTGTGTGTGTGTGTGTGTGTGAGAGAGAGAGAGAGAGAGAGAGAGAGAGAGAGAGAGAGAGAGAACACAACCAGGGGGGAGGGGCAGAGGGAGAGGGAGAAGCAGGCTTCCCGCTGAGCAGGGAGCCCGACGTGGGGCTCATTCCCAGGACCCCGGGATCGTGACCTGAGCTGAAGGCAGACACTTCACCGACTGAGCCACCCAGGATCCCCACAACTTCATTTTTTATTTCTGAAATCTGAGCAACATCTGCAGTCTAGTTAATTATAATGAGCCTGGTTTGGGTAATACACTAATTACGTAAGATGTCACAATTGTATGTGTGTGGGGGGAATCTGGGGGGTGGGTACAAGGGAACTCTTGGCACTATTTCTGCAACTTCCTGTGAGTCTATAATTATTTCAAAACCAAAGGTTAGACAATGAATGTTTGAAAGATCAGTCAGTCACATGTGTGCATGATGGTTTGAAAGGAGACAACATGGAGACAGGAGGAGAAGCTGTTTCAAGCAGATCTTTCTCCACCTAAACGTGGCTCATTCAGAAAAGAGGTTGGTGCCGAGTAAACAAAACCCTTGCTCCTGCTGTTCAGTCAAAGAGAAATTTGGAATGTATTGGATCTGAGAGCCAAACGCTGTGTGTCACTGGATGAGGATGTTTGGTCTTGGAAGTTCGGAGTTAAGAGTGATTTTTCTAGGGGCGCCTGGGTGGCTCAGTCAGTTAAGCATCGGACTCTTGATTTTGGCTTAGGTCATGATCTCAGGGTCGTGAGATCAAGCCCCACGTCTGGCTCTGCCCTGGGCATGGAGCCTGCTTGGGATTCTCTCCTTCTTCTCCCTCTGCCCCTCCCCGCCCCCCAGCTTGTGCAGTACGTGTGTGTGTGCGCGCACGCACTCTCTCTCTCCCTCTCTAAAAAAAAAAAAAAAAAAAGTGATTTTCTAGTCAGCCTTCTAGAGGTGAGTCAGGCTCTGCCATGGTGAACAGCAACCTGTTTAATAAAAAGATGCAGATGTTAGACCACCAAACTGGAGCTTGTTCTCTACGAAAACACAATGGAAACACCTCTAAATACCTGTAGCCCGCAGAGAAGGGACTGGGCTTGGCATAGTCTTCAGCAAGTGAGTGGGCATCTGGCTGTACAACATGCCCACTGAGCGACAGGAACTCAGAAGACCATCGTCCAAACATCATCTGCTTGCCCAGCGAAGCCCACTCAGTCTCCGAAATCCGCAAAGGAAAAAGTTGAATGCTGGCAAGTAACTTTTCCCCTGCTTTCTTTCCTTGCATTTGAAGAGAAGCAGAATTTACCACCTCAGAATATGTCACTTGGGCATGAGGATTGTTGTGAGCTAAAGGCAATCAACACCCAGCAGATTCAGGAGGAGCTCTTTACCTCCCTCTCCACTGCCAACATTCCCACTGGAAATGGGGGCCTGTAGCAGGGAGGGAGCTATAACCAGCGATACCTTTTTACCTAAGAAACTTACCTGCACACCAGGGCAAACTTTGTTTTATAAACGTTTCCTCTTGCCTTCCTGTGAATGGCCTTCCTCCCCCTTGGTCTCCCTAGACTCTTACCCCTTTCTTTAGCTCAGGGTGCACATAATTAAATTTGTTTTTCTCCTGCTGATCCATCTTAAGTCAATTTAATTACTAGATCAGCCAAAGAACCTAGAAGAGAAGAAGGGACAATTTTTCTGCCCCTCCACAAGTCTTTTCAGAAAGCAGATGTTGGTTGGGGTGGGCAGAGGGTGAAGAGGCAGGAGTTGGGGGGCATCCTTCCAGATCATCTCTCTCAATGGATGGCTAGCCCATCCTCCCTCTGCTACCCCTCCCAGCTGAGCGGGGACCACACCGGGACCACCTCAGTGGAGCCACCGGGACTAAATCCCACCAGCTGGCTTTAGTGGGCTGCCCAGAGGCAAACCAAAAGAGTGGGGGAGGGTGAAGAGAAGGCACTGGAAGCTCTTCTTCCCTGTTTCATCTTCCACTTGTCCTTTTATGCAGTCTGTAGCCTGCATCCCATTCGCCTTCTTCCTTCAGCATTTCTTCCCGGGAGATGGGGCTCGGGCTGCCTGCTGAGTTTGCTCCCTGTCTTGCACAGCAGCTGGCCTCCTTAATGCCTCCGAGGTAGCTCCATTATCTTGATTGTTTCAGTTTGGGCCGTGTAATGAAACCAGCCGGTCATGAATACAGAAGATTTATCACTTAATAGCTGCGCGGCTTGGGTCATTAAGGAGGAGGAGAGGAACAGCGGAGGGATTGTTAATCTTGCAGAAACTGTAACATGGAGATGGCCATTTGTTCCCCGTTGTATCCTTTAAGGCTCCCCTCTGCGAAAGGATGGCTTGTGTTGGGTCTTTTTGGCCTTGGGGGTCGGGAGCCCGCTCTGGGGCTTCTGCCCGGGGCAGGGTGAAGGGGAAAGCAGACCGGAGGGTTTGGAGCTGCTGAGAGCAAGCTGTGTACTTCTGGTTTTGCATATCCCCTTCAGGTGCACCCCCTGCAGGGCCTGCTGTGAAGGTATTTGCATGATTGCCTGGGCCGGTATTTGCATTCACCTGGGCAGGTAGCTCAGTTCCTCTTCGTCCCACTGTGCCCTTGTGGCTCCAGGGAGAGTTCGCCAAAGGGACGCAAAACCGGAATGCCTTCCTTTGTCACATCCCAAACTCCATTCCCGTTCAGCCAGTGACTGATGAGGGGCCTTGACCCTGACCTGTAGCAGTGCTCCCACAGAGCAGAACATTTACCCCAAAGCCAGAGTCTACACCAGGCCAAAATGAATCACTCTTCATTCTGAAACTGTGTACTGGGGTTGGGGTGACAAAGAGGGGTTTTTGAAGCTGGGGAACCCCTTGAGCACCCCTAGCAGTTGACTGTGTGATTTGCCCTGCTTTCAACCTGTGCTCTTTTCCTGTGAACACCCTGGGCTACTAAACCAGCCCTGTGGTGAACTGGGGGTGTATGTGCCCCACTGGGGAAGAAGATGAGCGGGCATCAGAAAATTCCCTTGTGCACCTTCAAAAAGACACTTCTCCAAACGTTCCCGAAGAGCCTGCTAGAGCATGCAGGACACAGAAAAGGGGCACTTAGGCCCCCTCTGAACCCTCCCTGAATATCTACCCCTTCAGTGTTGCCAGGGAATGCACCAGGGCATCATTTTAACTAAATCGACCCCAAAGCCAGGCTATCCGAAAGGCCAATGCAAAAGCCTACGCTTTACTCTCAGCCTATATGCCCAGCTGCATTGTCCAGCCAAGCTGCCAGGTAAGGCGGCAAGACACGCGGCAGGTGGTAGCAACCTAGAGTAAGAGCAGCACCGTCGCTGCCAAATCAGGCAAGTGTTGGTTAGAGCAGAAGAGTGAGCGCCCTCCTTCATTCCCACAGGTAGCTGGAGAAAAATGGAATCCCTGCCTCCTTCCAGGTGGGCGATGGGCGGAGCTGTCTGTGTTGTGCCTGGGTCTCTCTTCCAGCAGCTGCGGGCTGGGGAGTCCCCTGAGCACCTCCCACGTTGGCTGACTCCTCCAACTTTCTCCACCAGGAGAAAGCTCCTTGGCCTTGTTGCCCTCCTGCATGAGTTTTGATTATTTGCTGATGACATGGTGAGGTAGGCCGTTGGAGGTTACACAAAAGAATCAGGAAGCGGGAAAACGTGGCCCGTGCACGATCCCACCGACCCGCGGTGACGACTATTAACGCAGGAGCATATTCTCTCCCGGCCTTTATTGCTGCACATTGTCCTGCCGTGGCTGAGATCCTACACCTCAGAATGATAGCTACCATTTTATTGTCTGCTTTTCCCCCCGTAAGCAGCATTTTGCCCCTTGGCTTTAAGGCTTTGCTACCATAATTGCAAATGGAGGCATCGTCGCCTGCCTCCCACACGCACCGCCATTTGTATAATTTAGGGGGAGCATAATTCTTTAACCCTTTATCTTTCAGCGCTAAAGTTCATGGAAGTGTCCGGTGCTGTGGAGTTATGTGTCCTAATAACCCCTCAGGTCTGTTTTTGATGCAGAACCCTACCTCCACCCATGGGCTGAAGTTGGGCAAATGTTGATCCCGAAAAATGTCCTGTAGAAGTCATGTTTAAAGTTAGGGCATCTTTAGCTGTGTGGCTTCCAAGTCATCCACGTGGCCTACTGTGTCCAGTCCATGATGTCCAGCTTATCCAGGTTTCCCCAGGACTTCCTGTTTTTAGCACTAAAAATCCTGTTTCCCAGGAACCGCCTCAGTCCTGGGCAAATTTGAATGTTGGAGAGACTGTCTCTGTTTCAACACAGAAAAGTCCTGCGTCTCCAGAAACCCTTTAGTCCCAGGCAAACAGAAATGGTTGGTCACTCTCCAGGAGATTCCGTAAAGAATTGGCTTGTGGCATTCATTTTACCAGGGGCATTTGCATTGTCATAAATGCATCTTCTCAATCCTGAGGGCTTCACAATCCAAAGGAATGATGGCTAATAATGGAATCACAGGCACTAGGACCAGCTGGTGGGAAATCATCCCGGCCCCCATGCCTTTCAATTATTATTCAATTGACCGCATTTTCTGCCAGCCCTCCGCCCCCTGCAGGCAACCTGCGGAGCCCTATTGCAATTTTTGGGAGCCCTTACCCCCTAGGGTGTGGTTCTCAAGCAGAGGCTTGAATCAGAGTCACCTGGAGGGCTTGCTAAAAACAGATTTCTGGGTGCCATCCGCAGAGTTTCCGATTCAGACAGTCTGGGTGGGGCCTGAAATGTGCATTTCTAAGGAGTTCCCAGGTGATGCTGATGCCGGTGGTCCCTGCCCTTACCGAGCAGCAGGGCGGAGTGGTTAGGAGTGCACACTGCAGGCGCCCTGCCAGGGTTAGGATCCTTGCTTTAGGCGATTTGGTTTCACAGCCTTAGCTAGTTAACCTCTTGTGCGTCTGGTTCCTTACTGATAAAAATGCAGATAATAATGGGACCTCTCTCATCGGATTTTTGTGAGATCATGGAACAGTGCCTGCCTGGCCTGTAGTAAGCTGCGTGAGTGTTTTTGATCATTACCCCCAAGCTCGGAAGAACTGATCAGCTATTTTTCTTCTTTAGACTTCAAGCAAGCTGCAGACACTTTGTACTCCTACAGCCATGCCTGGCCGCTGGGCTGGGTTTGCAGCTGCCCTGCTTCTCCCAGATGCTGACTGCCCCTCTGGAGAAGACTGGCTGAGTTAACATTCAGTGTTCTCTCCATCCCACCCTGCAGGCTCTTAGAGAGCTCCAGAATGTTTTCTGGGAGAATGCCCAGCAGTGTATCCACAAAGCAGCCCAAAGTATTTGACTAACACATGGCCCTATAAACTCCACAGACAAAGCCTTAGTTGTTGGGCAAGAAAGACCACTTAGTTGAAATAGACACATGTGGACTTCTTTGTTTAAGGAGAGATGAGTTTATAGCAGGATGCAAACATTCAGAGTGTGTGTGTGTGTGTGTGTGTGTGTGTGTGTGTGTATTCCCGTCCTCCATTAGAAGGGATCATTTGACCCATTGTCAGCGAAGGGCAACCTTCTCCAGGATGAAAGGAATATTTTTTCTCTTCCCTAGGATCGAAGGAACATCTCTTATGTTCAAGAAGTAGAGTTAGGTGATTAAGTTTTGTGAACACTGAGCCCCTTCCCTGACCTCCATGGAAGATAAACCTATTTTCTTTTTTTAAAACATTTTTAATGTATTTATTTGAAAGAGAGAGAGCACAAGCAGGGAGAGTGGAAGAGGGAGAAGGAGAAGCAGGCTCCCCACTGAACAGAGAGCCTGACCCGGCGCTCGAATCCCAGGACCCTGGGATCATGACCTGAGCCGAAGGCTGATGATTAACTGAGCCACCCAGGCGCCCTGATAAACCTGTTTGTTATTGCCATGGATTCAGGCTCCAGTTTGAAGAAGCCACTGCGGCTCTCCCTGGTGGGCCCTGAAGGGCTTATTGCTAGTGTCAGTAAGAGAGTGAAGCGGGTCTGTTGGGAATAGTGGCAAGCCAGAGAGTGCATGGCTGGGTTGAAAGGGGCAGGCACCATTTAGAAGCAACAAATGTTTGCCAACTAGAATTTGGACCCGCGTTGCTGGATTTTAGGAGTTGGGGAAAAAAGCTCAAATTCCAACTTTTAATAGAGTATCTCCTGACTCTTAAATGTTGTCAACCAACTGTAACCTTAAAAAAAAAAATTACCATGTGAGCCAAACAAATATGTCCAAAGCACATATTTGCTGCCAGTATTTGACTTATGGGTGATAATGAGAAAAAAAAAAAAAAAGACAGCAGGGCTTTTAGTATGGATGGTAAATGGGGTTAGCAGCAAGCAGGCAAGAGAGGCTGTGTGGTTGGGGAAAAGGAGGGATC